CTGACCGCGGGGCTCCTCTTCCCAGCCGGCGGGTGCTGCGGGCGGCCGCCCTATGTCGTGCTCGCGGCCTCTGGCCCCCGTGGCCTCAGTACCTCTGCCATCTCGTTCGCAGAAGCCCAGGTAAGATGCGTTTGGTCCCTGCGGCGTTAGGAGTGGTGCTTCTTGGTTGATTTGTTTTTATTTTGTCTTGACTGGAGGGAAGGGGAATGTGGAGCTGAGTTCTTGTCCACACAACACACAGCTCCCCAGAATGGTAGCATCTCTGCTTGGGATAGATTTTCACATCAGTTGGGGAAATGATTGAGAGTACAGCAGGAGAGATTTACCTTATACACAAGGCATTGTTTGCAGTGGCCGGCAAGCCACTGATGGTGATAGGAAGTGATTTCGGGTGTGTGTGTTAGAAAAATTATAACTTGCATATCATATACATGATTTCATGGATGTTAATATTTATGAGGATGAGACCAAGTAGATATTTAGGTCTTAAAAACTAAGTTGTTTTAAAGAAACATTTTAGGGCCGGCCCTGTGGCTTGGTGGTTAAGTGCGCGCACTGCAATGCTGGCGGCCCGGGTTCGGATCCCGGGTGTGCATCGAGGCACCACTTCTCCGTCCATCCTGAGGCCGAGTCCCACATACAGCAACTAGAAGGATGTGCAGCTATGACATACAACTATCTACTGGGGCTTTGGGGGGAAAAAAAAAAAAAAATAAAGAAACATTTTAAGTATAATAGTTTCAGTACATGCAGAATCGTGCCGGGGATTCTCAACTGACTGAAGTTTAGAAAACACTGATACAAGAAATAACTTCCCAACATAAAGGGAAGTCAGGAAATCTTACTCTAAGTAACTTATTTTCCTGCATGGAGGGGAAAATAAAATGTCGTCTTGAAGCTTTGAATTCTGTGGACACTGTAGGTTAACCTGGGAGAAGAAGTAGGGAGTCAAGAGAACAACCCAATTTGGGTTATCATAAGGGGACCCTTGATTTCTGTATGTCCCCCCTACTGAATATTACATATGGCTTCCTTTTGCACAGGTTCAAGTCCCTCCCGTCATTCCTGCAACTCCCCCACCCACAGCAGTAACTGAGGTGGCTTCTGGAGAGACTGCAGATGTAGTTCAAGCTGCTGCAGAACAGAGCTTCGCTGAACTGGGGCTGGGGTCATACACCCCTGTGGGACTGATCCAGAACTTACTGGAATTTATGCATGTTAACCTTGGCTTACCTTGGTGGGGGGCCATTGCTGCATGTAAGGGGAATACCTCCTGGACAAGGGTAGAGGAAATGGGGACTTAGGGATAGAACTTTAAAGACAGCAGTTCCGTGAGTGGATCAAGGAAATAGTTGCAGAAGTTTAGGGGTCAGAAAAGTAGATGATTCAAATGAGGGATAGAGGCTCATGATACTTAGATGTACGCTACTTATATTTCCTAAAGAGCATTATAAAACCACTAGGTCATCTGGGATTCAAGATGTATAGATACTTGACTGTGAGCATAGGGTTCGAGTTAGGGGACCTCGTTAACAGTGATGAGGCTGCCCTGGTCTATGAGAGTAGAAGGTCAGGTCAGGCACTTAAACCCCAAAATGGAGAAGACACTCACATTGCTCCTGTTGTAAGCTAACACTGTGTTTAAATTCTGTTTCGTACTACACCTTGCCCCAGTGATCATCCTTTCTCTCCCCTGTGTCTTCAACTTCTCCCCCTTTAACGCCCTACCCTGAACATATAAACGTGCTCAAGCATACCCTTTGTTGCTCAGTGGAAAATTCCTTTCCCTCATTCTTTGTTCACCTTTAACTACTATCCTGTGTCTCTCCTTCCTTTCATAGCTGTTATTTAAGAGTATTCTGCATCCAGTGGACTTCTTTCTTTTTACTCTTTGACCCTCAGCAATCTGACGTGTACTAATGCCACCTCATTCTAACTGCCAGTGACATCATTGCTAAATCCATTTTTCTTTTTACACTTGACCTTTCTGCATTAGACACTTTAGACCCTGAAATCTATCCCTTGGCTTTTTTGTTGTTTTTTTTTTAATAATTTTTTTATTTATTTTTCCCCCAAAGCCCCAGTAGATAGCTGTATGTCATAGTTGCACATCCTTCTAGTTGCTGTATGTGGGACGTGGCCTCAGCATGGCCGGAGAAGCGGTGCGTCGGTGCACGCCCGGGATCCAAACTCGGGCCACCAGCAGCAGAGCGCGTGCACTTAACCGCTAAGCCACGGGGCGCTAAGCCACGGGGCCAGCCCGATCCCTTGGCTTTTTGACAGTCTTTCTTGATTTTCTTCCTGTCTGTCTGACCACACCTTCCAATCTCCATTGCCCAGTACTCTAGCTATCCCTTTAGTGCTGGTATTCTGGGTTCTATCCTTAGGTTCCTTCTCTTTCCACTCCACATCATCCATCATACTGTTGATAAAGCCTAAACCTATATCTCCCCCCGGTCTCTTCTCAGCCCAGACCCACTTGTTTGTCTACAGATACCATAAACTAAATATTTGTTGGAATGATCAGGAAATATGAAGTCTAAGAAAAGAAATAGGGAGGAACTAAAGCATTAGGCCACCAGATTACCTCCTACTCCAGGGATTTCTGACAGTGGCTTTCAAACCTCATTCTCGGAGCCCCAGAGTTCTGTAAAGAGGCCTCTGACAAAGGAAAGGCCAGAGCTTGAACAACCTATAGCCAGACTACCCCCTTACCAGGGCAGCTTGACTGGCTCTGTTATGTATATTGGGGCTACACTTAGAGTTGGGGGGAAAATTATTCCATTGATAATAGAAGAGTTGGGAAACCGTTAATTAGAAAAGCGTTTTCTGTCACCTTTTTGTTCAAGGAAAGAAACAGGATTCCTGGTTATTTGCTTAGAGAAGTTAATGCCAGCCTTCAGTGATGTCAAAGCAGAGGACTGACCCTTGAAGGAATTAAGTCATACCCCTGCCCTTTGTTTTGGGCCCCTTGGGCATGAGTCACAGTCTGGAATAGACTGGAATAAGAGAGACCCTTTCAGTGAGGACCTAGAAACCCTCAACCTAGCTGCAAAACTGTTTTCATTTCACTCCAGTCCTAGTATGTGTTTTCCAGGTACAGTCCTTGCCCGCTGCCTGGTGTTTCCTCTCATCGTGAAGGGCCAACGAGAGGCAGCCAAGATCCACAACCACTTGCCAGAGATCCAGAAGTTTTCCACTCGAATCAGGGAGGCCAAGTTGGCAGGAGACCATGCTGAGTGTGAGTCAGTTGCAGAGTGAGCGTGGGAGAGGACCACATTTGCACTTTTCCTGACATTCTGCTGAGGGAAGGGAACAACCTAAATCAGGAGTTGCTGCAGTTGGGCAAGTTCTAAAGATTTAACTGCTCCTTGGGCCAAATGTTTCCAGTGACTGGCCAGGGTCAGTTAGAAATTTCATGGGCCAGGCGATGAGGATAGTCACCTCCACTGACACAACTGTTAGCCTAACCATTAACTTCTCCTCACTTCACAGTTTACAGGGCCTCCTCGGAGATGACCCTTTACCAGAAAAAGCATGATGTTAAACTCTTTAGACCTCTCATTCTACCTCTGACTCAGGTGAGCAAAAACATTTCCCATTCATTTCGTCCTGAACCAATCAGATTACCTCCTCTGTGTTTCCCATGCCCTAGACCCCCCAAAAAGCAGGTGGTGGTGATGGTATAATGGTTTTAAATAATGGAGTAATGAAAATGTGCCCTCTGCTAAAGGGTCCTGACACTGTTGATCCTGTGTAATAGGCCCCAATCTTCATCTCCTTCTTCATCGCCTTGAGAGAAATGGCCAACCTTCCTGTGCCCAGCCTGCAGACAGGTGGCCTCTTCTGGTTCCAAGATCTCACACTATCTGACCCCACCTACATGCTACCACTGGTAGTCACTGCTACAATGTGGGGTGTGCTTGAGGTAAGCCCGGGTTGGCTAAGTGCCAGGCCTGCAAAGTGGGGAGTGGGGGTAAAGTAGTTGTGCAGAATGGTCATTCTTCACTCCCTGGAGAAATAGAGTTGATGGGTAAGAAATTTGAGGCAGATTCACTACAATTGACATGCATTTGCTATTATTCCTCTGCCTTTTTTTTTTTTTTTTTTTTTTTTGGCAGTTAGGTGCTGAGACTGGTATGCAAAGTTCTGATGTTCAGTGGATGAGAAATCTTATCAGATTGATGCCCCTGGCAGTCCTGCCCATAACTATCCATTTCCCCTCGGTAGGTAATGGCTTAGGGGCTGGCTCCAAGTCCTTCCACTGGCATAGCCATCTCCCAGCAAGCTGCCCAGGGAGGCGGCTTCTGAGTTCCTTCTCTTCCTTCCTTCCAGGCGGTGTTCATGTATTGGCTCTCGTCCAATATGTTTTCCCTGGGCCAGGTGGCTTGCCTCCGGATTCCAGCCGTACGCACTGTGCTTAAAATCCCCCAGCGTGTTGTACACGACTCCAACAAATTACTTCCACGGGAAGGCTTCTTCAAGAGCTTCAAAAGCGGTAAAGGCCTGTCCTCTGCGTAACAGGACCAGGGGAAAGTGGTCTAAAAATGAGTACAGGACTGACTGTCTTACTGTTTACACAGGCTGGAAGAATGCTGAGATGGCACATCAGCTACGAGAGCGTGAACGACGCATGCAGAATCACTTGGAGCTAGCAGCCAGGGGTAAATAACCCTCTCAGTCTAAATCTGTCATTTGTTTCCTCCTTTCCTTGATTCATCTATATTTGTTTTCTCCTCTTCCCCCAGGTCCCTTACGACAGACCTTTACCCACAATCCTCTGCTACAGCCTGGAAAGAATCACCCTCCCAACACCCCTGACAGCAGCAGCACCAAACCAAAGTCAAAGCAGCCCTGGCGCGACACACTTGGCTGAATTCTCTTCCCTGCTCTTACTGGCAGGAACTCTGTCTCTTCAAAGACTCAGCCTCAGAACAAGATTTGACGCTGGGTCCTTGCCCCAGACCTAGCAACTGTAGGACATGAAAATGTTTGTTTTCAAAGTGGATTCCACTACAGACTTTTACATCTAAGTGTAAGACGGCACTGGGGAGCCAAGTGATCTTCCCATCCAGAGTTAGTAAACTTCTGTACTACATGCTGCTTTCTGATACTTATTAAACAGGGAAATGGATTGTGTGCTTCAGAAAAATGAGGAATAGATTGGGTGGTGATTGCTCTTGCTGGACCATGCTCTTAGGAAATGTCTTGGTGTTGTATCCAGTGGCATTAAGAGCTTAGGCCCCACCCCATAGATATGTTCTATCCATATTTGCAGTGTAGTCACAGAGGTATGCCTGATGAGTTCAGACTGTAGCTAAATAGAGTAACCACATTTATTTACCCCAAGATTACCTATAAAGTATCCTTCAAGTAGTAGATGTGCTCAAATTCTTAGTGATAATTAAAAAGAATGGAAGCTGGTACAGTTTTTTTCTAACAACCTAACATTTTGCTATAGCACTTTAGGTGTTCTCTTGGGTAGAGATTGGTTGCATCAGCCTTCAGCCACTGGCTTGAGAGGGAAGAAATACTTGGATACTTTCAAGCATAAGATTGTTTTTAGTCTTCCTGCCAGGTTAATGGGAGCTGTCCCAGGGACACTATATAAAACGAAGCCACTCAAAGCTTAGGAACATAACCCTTTTATTGTCCAGCATCTGTGACAGTTTTGTGTCTCTCTAAAGGAGACAAATTTGGAGCATTAGTGGCCCTTTTAAAGGAAAAGAGTGGGTAGGCACATCCAGAGGTGAGTGAATATCTTAACACATGGGAATGTGCTATTAGAACAACCAAGCCCACACCTGACATGCTCCCCACCATAGTCTGCTTTATTGTCCCTTTAAAAAAATCTAGAACAATAGGTAGCAAAACAAATAAATTACTTTCCATCTCTCAAAAAGCAAGGTCAAAGCTGTTAAAGCTCCCCACACCAGGCTTCTGGACAGGTGCCTCCAAAGAAGTCAGCTTTCCTTTTCAACTTCCTTGGCTCCAGCCGGTATAAGACAAGAGGCCCCTGCTTTCCATATCTCAGGATTCCAGGAGGTATTTAGTTAGACTTGGGATCTTGTTGCTTGGGCATCTCTCCTCCATCTTCCAAATCCATCTCTGCAGCAACTGACATACATAGGACCTGGAGGTACCATGTGGTGGATGCTACAAAGAGAACTTTGAGTCAAAACTGAGAAGAGGTCAACTGGGCTGAGTTCAAGTGGCACTGAATGGGGCTGAGCCTGAGGGGACAACTCAGTTAAGCCTTAGGGTTAACAACCGGAAAGGGCAATGGCAAAAGTGACTTGAGAGACTAGATTTGCAAAAGTTGCGGGGGGAATAGGCTACACAATAGCTGAGCCAACTTGAGGAGCCAGGGCTTACCCACAATCCTTCGCAGGCAATGAGGTCGTTTGTGTTCTGGCACTCTGATGATGAGGAAGTAAAAGGGCAAGCCTGAGAGGGCAATGCCAATGCCAATGAGGGAGTTGATGGTATCACTGTAAAGTGGAACACCCACCAGGAAGATGGTGCAGAGGCAGAAGACAATGGGGAAGAAAAGGCTGAGCTAAGGGCACAGAGAAAACAACTGGAAGTTAGGCAACTCAGGACTGACAGCCAAAATAACCCCACCTCCTGTGAAGATCAGAGCACTGAACCTTCTTTCCATCCCCTTTATCTCAGCACACTACCACCACCAAGTCCTAGGTAAAGGTTTCTGAATAAACCGTCTTATAAGAATCCCCTGGGGCCGGCCCCATGGCTTAGCAGTTAAGTGCGCGCGCTCCGCTGCTGGTGGCCTGGGGTTCGGATCCCAGGCGCGCACCAACGCGCCGCTTCTCCGGCCATGCTGAGGCCGCGTCCCACATACAGCAACTAGAAGGATGTGCAGCTATGACACACAACTATCTACTGGGGCTTTGGGGGAAAAGATAAATAAATAAAATTATAAAAAAAAAAAAGAATCCCCTGGAGCAGAGGTAGGATGGAGGTGAGGTACCTTGAGGGGACGAGGTCGATCAGGCTCCTTCCAGCGCAGATAAAGCTGACCCACAATAGAGAGCCCCACAAAGAACCAGTAGCTGAAGCTGTAGTAGTTAATGAGCTGGAAGATGTCCTCCACACACAAGTAGATCAGTGCCATGATACCCTGTAAGCACAAGCCCACGTCAGCTCTGCTTACGGCCTTTGTTACTCAAGGCACTTTTCACTCCCCTTTATGTCCCACAGATCATCCCCTTGTCAAGTCCTCAGAGACTCCCTATCTCTCCTTTTCTGTTCCTACCCCCTTTAGTTCCCAAGTTTCAATACGTCATTCCTTTTGTATTAAGTCAATAGCCTCAATTGGTTTTTCAGCCCATTCTTCACACCTTTGCCAAGTTAACCTTATGTAAAGCACAGCTCTAAACAGTTCCTCAAAAATCTTTTGCCTAAGAGGCTCCCCATAATGGCTCCAACCTATGTTTCCAGCTTTTATCTCCTACTCCCCAATTCCACACTGCCTTATCTCAGAACTTTTTGAAGCTGTTTCTCTTAACCTACAGCCCATCTCTACCATTTGCAACCCTAACCTTAAAAATCCACTTCAAATGCACTTTCTTGGAGAAGTCTTTCCTCATTCAGCCTCTACCCCCATGGAAGTGATCATTTCTTCCCATAAACACTACATCAGTCACTTTCATGGCAGTCGTTACAATGTATTCCCTGTACATATGCCTTATCCAAGACTGAAGGAGGTTACCATTCCTTAGAGAAGATGGATTCTCTCTCAGGAACCACCGCAGCAGTTAGCACAGTGCCTTGCTCACAATGGCTATTCCAACACTAGTTTTTCTATTACAATCTCTTAGAGCTTTCAGGAAGCTAGAACAGTTGCATCTACTATTACTCAGGTTTCCCCCACAATCTGGCTTTCAGGCCCATCCTTGAGATGACTTACATTGAAGAGCAGAGCTGTCACCGGCGTGTACCGCTCAACCTGAATCATGCAGATGGCGTCGGGGAGATGGCCTTCTCTTGAGCCCACAAAGAAGAGCCTATTGGGGGAAGACAGGTGAGGCTGAGGAACTTGTGAGATGCTGGGTGTGGCCTGGCTCACATGCCACACAGCCCTCTCTCTGCCATCCCCTCCTTCAGAAGAGTTTGAATAACATGGAATGGAGTTCAATATTGAGATTAGTAAGAACTAGAGGCTGCTGATGGAAACGAGTAAAGAGTTGTGAATATCATCTGGGAAGCACAGTGACTAACGTCTGGGCCCTGTAAGTCCTATCCTCCCCTGCCATAGCTCTTCACAACACATGCCCAGTAAAAGATGCCACTCATACCTAGAAGCAGCCACAATGGAGGCATTGAGGCCACCAAAACAGGATAATGCAACTGCCAGTGGAATTGTCCAGTTGAATATTCCAAAAATCTGGTCTGCAAAAGTCTAAGGGGAAGGAATGAAAAAAGAGTCATTACCAGGACCTAAAAGGGATGAAAGGCATGGACAGGCATGCCCCCCGATTCCGCGTACTAGGAATGCAACCCTCTTCCACAACAAGGGTAACAGGACCTTTTTGCAAGCCCAGTATCCTAAGCATATTCCTTTCAAGGACTACCCCCTTTCTGGGACTTTGAAGAGCTGTGGTATACCCAGATGCCCACAAACACACCCTCAGCCTTCTGCTAGTGAAAATCCTTTACCACAGCAACAGCATCACTGGCCAGGATGTCCCTCATGTCTAGCACGGTGTAATAGGCCACATTGGTCAAGATGTAGATGATGGTGACAATGGGCATGGAAATGCCAATGGAGAGGGGCAGATTCCTATAGCCAAACAGAATAATGGATACATTAATCATACAGTCGCATCTCCATGTCACCTTTAATCCTTAGACTGTCACGCCAGGGATGGGGCCTCCTGTGGCATTTCCCCAGTGCCTTTGCCTTTGAAGTTGCCTAGGATAGTGGCTGAAGCGCTGAACTCTTAAGAATTAAAGAGCATCAAGGGAAAAGAATATTACATTCAGAGAAAGGGCTATGCAAAAAAAAAAAAAAAAAAAACGATTAACAACTATGTCACAGCATAATAGTACAGGAAGATGGGAGGTTTTTGGTTTTGTTTTTTTTACATCTAAAGGTCTCTTGGTGTCAGGATTCCTTGTCTAAGATTATCGGAAAATTTGTCTTAAGGTTGAGAAATATAAGAAGAAATTATAGAGGCAAATTGTGAAATCTAACAACTCCAGAGAATAAGACAGGCCCTCAGTAGGAAGCGCAGTGTGCATATCTGAACAAGCAACCTGAGAAATATGTCAACCCCACCTCCTTACTCAGTTTGAGAACCTTGGTGCCATCCTAACCAGTGGCCAAGAGAAAGATGCGAAGACCTCTCAAGGTCCCTCTAGCCCAATAAAGCCATGATCTCTATAAACGTTTTTTACAATGAGACTGGGGGAAAGGAAAAAGAGGCAAAGACATTCAGCTTCTGTCCAGTAGGTGGAAGCACCACCCAGGCCTCTATCCTGCTTCTACTGTCTGCTCCCAGGGATGCAACACTGGATGTGTACTTTGTTTCTCAAAGCCAAAAGGAGTTTATTCTTCTTCTTTTGACCTAAAAATTTACAGAAACTCCACTCCCTGGCAAATCTTAGTTCCCAGAATCATTGAATTTTAGAGCCAGGAAAGGCTCTAGAGATCATGTAATTCAACCCCCTCAATTACAGATAAGGAAGCAGGCAAAGAGATGGTGGGGACTCCCTCAAGGTCATCCAGCAAATCAGTGGGAAGACAGGCTCCAGGCCCTTGACTCCCTGTGCTGTGCTCTTTTCACTCTGCATGACTACAGGGTAATTCAGAGTAACAATGGTGGGGTCATATCCTTGACTGCCTGAAACAATACCACTACATCAGTATGAGTCTGAGAAACAAGGAAGGGACCAGAAGGGACACGGGAAGATTTCTGGGAGTCTCTGACCTAAGTTATCCATGTGGGGATAAGAGTGGGTGAAAGATCTATCAAGGAAAATCTATAAAAAAGCATACACGAGCACATGGTACAACCTGCTTTAATTAATGCAGGAATGAATGAACAAATGTGAAAAGGGCTCTTTAAAAAATTTCTTTTTAAAACATACACAAGAAAGTTCACATCTCAGCTCTGTTACCATGATCATGGACAAGCTACTTCTCTGGGCCTCAGGCCTCCCATCTATTAAAAATGAGGCTGATAAAAATCGACCTCGGCAGTTGCAGTATGCTGTCTGACACGCGGTAGGAGCTCAATAAATGACAGCTATCATTATTGCCATGGGAAGTTGATGGTGAGGTACCTACCTCTCAGGATTCTTGATCTCTTCAGTGACATAGTTGAGGGTGTCCCAGCCCGAGTAGGAAAACAGAGCTGAGTACAGTCCCAAGGCAATGTCACCCATTGCAAAAGATGAGCCCTCAAAGGAATTCTCAAAGTGAGTTGAGGTTCCTGGAACCCAGAGAACATAGAAAGGCAGAAGAATTAGTGGCCTACCTCCCAACTTCAAGGCAATCCATAAAGGAGTGGAAGAGTATGGCAACGATAGCAGGTGAGTGGCTTAGAACACCTGTGGCAGCAAGGGTACTGGTGAAGGACAGGGAACAGAAGAGAGAAGCCCATGGTCATGGGCTGGAATGCAGGGTACATCACGGGGATCTTGACAGGAAGGACCGGGGTGACTTTCTAGGAGCAGAGGGGCTGGAGAACAGAGTGATACGGTTCTGTCCTGCCCTGCGAGCTGCCCGATTCCTGCCCCCTTTCTAACACTGGACAGAGCTGATACGGGGTGGAGGAAGGGCAGGACTCGGCATGCCCAGGTCAGTAGAGTAGTTGTAGGTTGGGGGTTCATACCTGGAACCTGGAGAGGAGTGGGTACAAGGAGCTCATTTCTACCCTTGCCCACTCCCAAGGGGAGAATAATCATAGCCACAGCGTTGGGCTCGACAATCTGCAAAAGCCGGCTGCCAGGGCATGACTGTCAGCTCTTTTGCCGAGATCAGCCTCCTCTGGGAGACAGCATGCATAGAAGTTAAAGGACAGACTTTGGGGTCAGTCCACCTGGGTACAAATTTCAGCTCCACTACTTACTAGCTGGGGACTTGAGCAAGATAATTCTGCAGCCTCAGTTTCCTCATCTATAAAATGGGAATAATAATAGTACCTACCAAATGAGATTGTGCACAAAGGGCACTTAGAGGAGTGTGGCTCATAGAAAATGCTTAACAAATGTTAGTTGCTATTAATATTATTTCTTACCCTGGCCAAGTCTAACAATGCCTGCGATGATGATGGCGATCAGTGCCAATACTTTAGCATAGGTGAAAATATCTTGTACCAGGGTTCCCCACTTGACATACGCACAGTTAATGAAGGTTAAGAGACCTGAAAGAAAAATAATACCGATTGGTGACTGACCCTACCATCCAGAGGGGCTTAGCTTCCCAAGCAATTTTTCCAGTAGCAGTCACCAAAATAGACCGTTTGGCCAAAGACAGAAGTGTCTGGGCTCTGACCTGCTCTGCATTGGAAACCTCTGCCCAGAATGTCCTCCCCACTATCATTCAAAGGCACTTGCTGAGCAGCTGTGTACATAGCACAAACACAAACAGAAACACACACAGAAAAACACACCCTCAGCACTTACACAGGAGACACAAAACAAAGTGACTGTGGAGTTGCTTACACACAAAGTGCTCACAGCAGGGGGAGGCAACTGGTATCCACAGAGGATTAACGATGTGTTCTGGCTGTCGGCTCTGAAAAGTCACGGTCCCTCCACCCCCTGCCTCCTGTTATGGGCTCCAGAACCCAGCATTCTGATGCTGTGGTATTACTGTTAACCTTGACGAGTCCTATTGTGACTTATGCAATGTCTGGGCCAGCAGGTCAGGATGTGTGGCCAAGGATTAGGATGGGGGCCAGACTTCCTGCTGCTGCCCGCCAGCTCAGCTGCTTGTTTTCGTGCTTGGAAAGATCCTTGGAGCCGAGGTTCCTATAAAATGGGGACAGGGCAGGGGCCGGCCCCGTGGCTTAGCGGTTAAGTGCGCGCGCTCCGCTGCTGGCGGCCTGGGTTCGGATCCCAGGTGCGCACCAACGCACTGCTTCTCCGGCCATGCTGAGGCCGCGTCCCACATACAGCAACTAGAAGGATGTGCAACTATGACGTACAACAATCTACTGGGGCTTTGGAGGGAAAAAAATAAATAAATAAAATCTTTAAAAAAAAAAAAAAAAAAAATGGGGACAGGGCATTTTTCCCAACTAGATAATGTAAAAATAAGAGCTACAAACATTCCTCAAATCCTTCTACCCTAGGGTAGAGGCAATCCCTTTACCTGGACGAGCTTTGGTAAAGTTCACACATCACCCTCTAAGCCAGGGTTCTTTTTTTTTTTTAAATCATTTTATTTTATTTTTTCATAATTTTATTTATTTTTTTCCCCCAAAGCCCCAGTAGATAGTTGTATGTCATAGTTGCACATCCTTCTAGTTGCTGTGTGTGGGACTCGGCCTCAGCATGGCCGGAGAAGCGGTGCGTCAGTGCACGCCCAGGATCCGAACCCGGGCCGCCAGCAGCGGAGCGCGCGCACTTAACCGCTAAGCCACTGGGCCAGCCCGAGAGCCAGGGTTCTTCACCTAGGACTTCCACAAGGCCTGAAATTCTTTGCAAAGTGTTATGTACGTGTGTCCAAAGTATATGCATTTTTCTAAGAAAAGGGTCCATAGCTTTCATCAGAATCTTAGAGAAATCCATTACCCCCAAAAAAGTTACAATCAGCTACTTCAGAAGAAGAAATTCAAGAAGGGAGGCCCACACATGCTGTGAGGTTGACCAATAGTCCCTGGATGTGGTGGGGAAGACAGTCAAAAGAAACAATTCTGAAACTCAGCAGACTGTTCCTCAATCTCCTACCAGCCTCTTAAACAGGCAGGAAGGCACCTGTACCACACCTTCCCCACTGTGGCAGTGAATTGCTTCACTACTCCCTCCTTCCCAGCTCAGCAACTGGAGCACTAGGACGACTCCAAAGGCAAGGCCAGAGCCAGCCTGCCTGACCAGCGCAGAGATTGAGACCCAGGGCTGGGCTTGCCTGCTTCAGGCCACCAACACAGCCAGGAAGTACTCCCCGTCTACTCAAAACAGCTGTCCCATCATTTCTCTCTCTCCCCCCCTCCCTTACACCTCTCCTGTTCTACTTGCTGCCCAAGTTCTTTTCTGCTCTTCCACAAACGGGGCATTCCTGTCCCACAAAAACATTTGCCTTTCTGCCTAACACACAAGACAATAAACACCAACCTTATCACAGGGCTGGGCAAAAATGCACCCATAACTCCAGGCCTCCCCAGTGCTAAGTTAATCATTAAAGACACAAGTGTGCAGTCTCCACGAGCACCCCACAAAATGACCAAAGTGCCTGTATGGCGCCCTCCACAAATCTTTCAGATGTGTTGATCCCCCCCAAGCCAGTCACCCAGCCTTGACCCCCCACTGGCCTTCGGCCTCCAGCCATTCAGCAGCCCTCAGGCCACTTCCCTCCATCCTTACCCTCGGGCCTGCTGCTGACTTACAAATATAACACAAGCCGGGTTTGCGACTAGAAACACCAGGGACTCCTGATGCTGCCATATTCACCAGGGAATGGGACCGCTAATTAAAATTCATGGTTAGCCCCCAGGGTAACCATGGGTCACAACACCAAACTGGAGTGGGCTTAAGGGACTACTTGTGGTTCAGAGTCAGGCTGCAGCGTGTGCCGCAAGGTTCTGTTCTCAGCTCTGTCCAGGGATGTGGGCAGGGAAAAGCCAACTCATCATCCTTTACAACAACAAACCCTGAAATGAAAATACATGGATTGCTTACATTTTAATCCCTACCACTTCTCTACTCTCACGTCCACCCATTGGTATCCCTCCTTTTACCCGCCAGTATTTCCCCTCCCCCACTGACCCACCATCTTGCCCTGGTCTGCTCTCTCTATGGAGCACAGGGGTCTCGGTTTGAATGTAGAAGGGAATCCTATGGAACGAAACCAGGGCACAGAGGAACTGCCTGAAGAGAGTTGGCCCTCACCTTCCCCAGAGCCCAGCTTTATCTGGGGCCTCTTGGCTGTGGGAGCAGGAAACGAGTATGGCGGCAGCAGTGCTGACTGGGTTCTTTGTCCCCACCCCCAACGGATACAGCTGACCCGAGGCCCCAGAGCCAGGCCAAGTGCACTGTTCTTGAAGTGGAGCCCAACCTCCTGCTTCAGAGGCAGGGACAGGAGGGGACCACAGGGGTAGAATAATATGGAGGCAACTGCAAGTTACCCTCAAGGACAGAGACACCCTACCCTCCTCCTATGTCTAGGTGCAATTCAATCCCCACCCAACGCTGGGCCAAGTCGACAGGAAGATGGCCTGAAATCACCTTGGACCCATGACTCAGGTGCAGCTCCATTCCTGCTTTGACCCCTGCTTTGGAGAAAGGAGCAAGTACGAAGAAGTCACTCCTATAATCATCTAAAGAGATGCACCTGAATGGATCATCAAACCCAGCCTATATGGGCTCCCCTGGAGCAGGAGCCTAGCTCCAGCACTAAGGCCCAGTGTCAGCTCTAGAACTAAAAGCCAGGAGAACACTGCCTAGGTTGATTCAGAACAGAACAAAGCTTGCAGCCCACTCCGGATCAGATGCCCAGATTTAGTTTAGGTGCTCAAATTAAACAGTCCCTGAAAAAGAACGTTAAACCTACAGTTTTCCCAGCACCATTAGTTTTAAATACATAAAATGTAACACATGAAACTTAGGCCGCTATTTAATCCATTCTCTGCTTCAAATTCCCAGGGACTATAAAACCTCAATAGTTTATTAGACAACTCATTCCATTTCTTCTGTTTTTTGGGGTTTTTTTTGAGGAAGATCGGCCCTGAGCTAACATCTGCCAATCCTCCTCTTTTTGCTGAGGAAGACTAGCCCTGGACTAACATCCATGCCCATCTTCCTCCACTTTATATGGGACGCCGCCACAGCATGGCTTGACAAGCCGTGTGGTGTTGCGCGCCCAGGATCCGAACCGGCGAACCCTGGGCCACCACAGTGGAGCGCGCACTTAACCGCTTGCACCACCAGGCCGGCCCCAACTCATTCCATTTCTAAAGCAATCAAGAGCTCTTCCTTCCATTAAACCAAAAACTTCTTCCTTGCAACTTCTACCCAGTAGTCCTAGACTTCTGCTCTGGAGCTGCCCAGAATCCAGCTCAACCTTCTTCCACATACTGGCCCTTCTTATCATTAAACATTAACTTCCTGTCCCCCTTGAGTCTTCCCTCTTTCAGGCTAAAAACCTGAAAGTTTCTTCAACCTTTTGCGTGACAAGTGTGGCTTCCAGACCAGTCACCATCCCAGTCCTCTCTTCTGCATTTACTTCACTTTGTCAGTGTCTCTCTGGAAACGTGAGACCCACACAGAAAACTCCAGACATGGTTGTAGACTATGGCGTCTCAGTTTGAATTCATTGTCAACTACAGCTCCTTTTTTCCGCACCTCAAACTGATGAGCTTTTCCCTCTCCCTCTTTTTGGGCCTATAAAAGTTTTTTTTTTTTTTTTAAATCCCAAATACGGGACTTTACATTTATTCCTAGTAACTTTCCTCTGTGAATTTTTTTTTTTTTTTTTTTTTTGCCAGGAAAGATTCACCCTGAGCTAACATCTGTTGCCAATCTTCCTCTTTTTCTTTTTTCTCTCCCCAAAGTCTTAGTACATAGTTGTATATTTTAGTTGTAAGTCCTTCTAGTTCTTCTATGTGAACCACCAACACAGCATGGCTACTGACAGACAAGTGGTGTGGTTCCACGCCTGGGAACCAAACCCAGGCCACCAAAGCAGAGCGTGCTGAACTTGAACCACTGGGCCATCAGGGCTGGCTCTCCTCTGTGAATTGTTTTTTTGTGTGTGTGTGTGAGGAAGATTAGCCCTGAGCTAACATCTGATACCAATCCTCCTCTTTTTGCTGAGGAAGATTGGCCCTGGGCTAACATCCATTCCCATCTTCCTCTACCTTATTTGGGATGCCACCACAGCATGGCTTGACAAGCAGTACATCGGTCCATGCCCAGGATCCAAACCTGCAAACCCCATGCCGCCAAAGTGGAGCTCGCAAACTTAACCCCTACGCCACCGGCCAGCCCTCCTCTCTGAATTTTTTTTTTTTGTATGAGGGAGATCAGTCCTGAGCTAACATCCATGCTAATCCTCCTCTTTTTGCTGAGGAAGACTGGCTCTGAGCCAACATCTATTGCCAATCCCCCTCCTTTTTTTCCCCAAAGCCCCAGCAGATAGTTGTATGTCATAGTTGCACATCCTTCTAGTTGCTGTTATGTGGGACGCAGCCTCAGCATGGCC